ATATTACCAATATGAGAATATGATGAACATTTGTGAACCATAGCCAATATCACAATTCCTAAGAATTCTAATTCATAAAAGTTAAAATGTCTCTGGAAGGAACAATGGATGCTGAGGAGGGCAACACACAGAGTTGTCATGCTCAACAATTTGTCTGTTGCTTCTGGCCAGGAAACGGTGAGAATACTTTTGTGCAGCAGCAAAGAGGGCCAGAGTGAAACTTTGTTCTGCAGGAGATTGTTCAGGAGAATGGGGTGAAAATGTTCTTACAGATTTGGTCAGGAAAAATGGGATACTAATTTAATTCAGTGCAAGTTTATTGAGGAAAAAAGGATTCTATGTGATGTGAGAGAAAACACAAGAACAGTAATGAATGAGAATGATACAGAGGGAAAACTCTCAAACATACAGAAAATAAGCCAGGCGCTGCTGGATCACGACTGTAATCCCAGCTACTCAGGAGGCTAAGATCTGAGGGTCAAGGTTCAAAGCCAAGCTAGGCAGAAAAGTCTGGGAGACTCTTATCTCCAAGAAACCACTACAAAACCAGAAGTGGTGCTGTGGCTCAAGCAGTAGAGCACTTGCCATGAGCTGAAGACCTCAGGGACAGCACGCAGACCCTGAGTTCAAGCCCCAAGACTGACAGAAAAAAATTTCAGAAAATATTGGATATATATTTACCTTCTATTATCTCTATACACCATGAATAATGTCATACTGGGTCTGGGAAGGTGGCTCAGTAGTAGAGCACTTGCCTTGCAAGCCTGAGGGCCTGGGTTCGATTCCTCAGTACCAAATAAGCAAAAAGAAAAAGCCGGAAGTGGTGCGGTGGCTCAAGTGATAGAGTGCTAGCCTTGAGCTGAAGAGCTGAGGGACAGCGCTCAGGCCAATAGTTCAGGCCCCATGACTGGACCCCCCCAAAAAAAAGAAAAGAAAAATGTCATATTGGACTGTGTACTGGTGACTCACGCCTATAATCCTAGCTATTCAGGAGGCTGAGATCTAAGGATTGAGGTTCAAAGCCTACCTGGGCAGGAAAGTCCATGAGACTTTCATCTCCAATGAACCACAGAAAACCAAAAGTGGCTCTGTGGCTCAAGTGATAGACTGTTCGCCTTGAGCTGATGAATGGAGACAGCGCCCAGGCCCAGCTTCAAGTCCCATGACCAACCAAAAATACAAAAGTCATGTTGTAGCCATCCCCACAGGGATTTTACATGGATGTGCTATTTGTGCAACAGGTGTTCAAAAAATGAAGATTTTACAAAAAGTGAAGCCAATCAGATGCACAGGCACCGGGCGCTCCTTGTACCATCCACTGCCGTACCTGATGGAGCCCCAGGGACCACAGGAAGAGACAGCCAGTGATCTTCCTTCCTAATACCGCAGCCCAGTGTGGTGCCCTTGAATTCCCTCCTGATTCTAACATGTGTCTCCCCAGGTCCTTCCAGGCCCTACATCCCAGATTCAAAGGTCACAGC